GCTTTGCAAATATGAGGCAAACACTTTGCCACTGAGCTACATCCCAGCTCCCTTTATCTGATATCAAAAAAAATCTATGGGAATGCTTTGACAACTAAGAGAAAATTTCTAATAATCCACTATACCGTATTTAATAAGCATCCATACTCTTAAATGATTTTATACTTTCTGCTAATTATGATTTCTGAATTTTTTTCACATAGTATTATTATATCAGTGTTTCTCCTGCTATCAAAATACCAGCAAATATATAGTTTCTGAGAGCTGCACAACAATCCACGGAACGACACGCCACAGTGAAGTGCCCAGTCACCTACACTGCCTACAAGGGGGTTTTCAATACTTCACTAGCCCGTAATTGCAGACAAATCAAGGCCAACATTTTAAACTATGCTTGTAAGACAGACTCTATGTGGGATTAATGGATTAAAGGATATGAGTCGTTTTCAAAAAAATGTTTCTTTTTTATCTTTTAAGGTACTTTCCACCCATTTCCTACGAGACCGTCCGTCTCACAACAGTCTCATCAACACGGCGGTTTTGGGATACTGTGTTTTTTTGATCACGGACTTCCCCCGAGCTCCTCTGCATCTCGTTGTTGTTTCCGTTTGCATTGTTTGGACACTAGTTACAGTAAATTCTTTTTTTCTTAACCATCTGCCTTTTCTTTCCTGTTTCCATCTTTTCCTGTTTTAAAATAAAAGGGGGCCTTTTTTTTGCTCATTGATGAGTTTGAGTTTTGTTTTTCATCACTACGGAGAATGCTGAGTCCTTGCTGCGTGTCCAGGTCGGGGGGATTGGCGAGGATGATGGAGAAATTAGTTGCTCAGGCCGGGTGCCCAGTCTCTTCCCTTGAACCCAGCACCCAGGCTTCTCCATCCAGCCAGGGGACGGCTAAGTCCTGCATGTCACCCCCACCTCCGGGAATGTGTCCCCCAGCCGTTGCCAAGCCCGGACAGTGGACCAAAGGTGCCGACAGAGGTCGGGGATCCCGAGGTGGCTGGGACATGATCCCTGCTCCCACGACTCTGGCGACCCAGGCGGCTTTGCTAAGTGAGGGAAGGAGCAGGAGCGCGGGGGACATACTAGGACGCCAGGTGTGGGCGCAGCTTTTTCTGGGGGGTGGGTATGGGTAAGCGAGTGGGGGAGGCTTGGGTCTTGAAAGAAAAGCAGCAACTAGAGTGTGGGCAGGGGTTTGAGGGTGCTCCAGGTCCTGGTGGCACCTGTGACCAAGGGACGGGCTCTGTCACGGGGCTTAGTGGCCTGCGCTGGCTTTGGCTGGGTCTGCTCGTCTCCTCTCTCTGCCAGCAGAGCTCCATCAGAGGACCACATTTCCTTCCCTGGTCGGGAACTGAGTGAGGATTGAACCGCGGAGGCCCAAGGTGAGCTGAGGAGCCGGCTAAGGCCCAGAAGCAAGCTGGGCTGTCGGGGACCACCTTCCTGCTCCACGGAGGCGTCCCTTCAGTCCAAAGTGCTGGCTGGGAACAGAGACAGAGGCCCCGTCAACACCAGCAGAGCCTGAACCCTACTGAGCCGGAACCAGAGTTATCTTTCTCTTCTGAGCTGGGTGAGCTATGAAGGGACCCCCGCACCCCGTTTCCTGTTCCTCAGTAGGTTAAACCGCGTCGGTTGCTTTCTACCAATATTGCTCTGATATCGAGAAGGGGCCAAGTTTCCAGATAGTTCCGTGGTTGGAGTACAGGTAGGATTTGGCAGCAAGAGATGAGGTTGGGCAAACAATTCCAGACACCCCAGTTAGGCCCCTTGATACTCCGCTCTGTCTGCCATGCCACTGGCCCAACCCTGTGTCTCTCATGCCTGGGCCAAGGAGGTCCCCTTCAGTCCCACACAAGAGGCCACTTCCTGGTTGAAGACTTTCACCGTTTTTTCTCTCTCTCTCTCTCTCTCTCTCTCTCTCTCTGTTGTTATTTCAGCTTTGGATTTAATAGGACTCTGTCAGTTGGGTTCTTGATCCCAGGTATTTCTCAGAAGTGGCTGCTGGCACGGCAGAGGACGCCAAGGAGGATGGGTAACTAAACGGCAAGGACGGGCCCGGTGACTCATGGTGGGGATTATGGCAGGCTCCAGGCAGCGTCGAGAGGCAGGGGGCCAGAGGCTGAGTGACTCGTAGCCGTTGGAGAAGTGTCATAATTCCCTCAACTATGCAGAGGCCGCAGTAGCAAGAAGGGATCTTGGCGGGGCTTTGCCTGGTACCTGAGTTAATGAGCAGAAGCCCTCATTATTCTCAGCCGCTTGACTGCGATTTTGTCACTGTCCCCCGTCCTTCACGATCCCAGCCGGCCAAGAGGGATGATCACGCTGATTGGGGTCACCTGCTGGCTCCTGGTACTCAGATCAGACCCCAGCCAGGCCCTGGGGAGGTTCCAGACTCTGACCTTCCTGTGTTCCAGCAGAGAGACGTCACGCTTTCTTTAACCGTCTTCCCGCTTCCCTGGACTTCTGTCCTTTAACGCAACCTGTGGTACCACGTCTAGTGGGAGTCACCCAGGAGGCCGAGCAAAACAGCAGCAGGAGGAGGGCAACCCATCTGCAGGGTCTCCAGGGTCCCCAAGGCTTCCCATCACGCCACCCGCTGCAAGAAGACACCAGAGGAAACGGGCGCCGTGCAGATGGAGGGCTGGGCCTGACCATATGGAAGGACTTTGGGAAGGAGCGATGCTTCCCGCCAGCCAGCCTGGGGGCTGTAAGAGATTAGTCCAGGCCGAAAAGAAACGAGGTGGCAGCCAACCAAGAATCTGAGGAAGAGCAGACGAGGGGAGGCCACCTCCAGGCTGTGCGGACGGGCGGCAGGGCAGCTTCCAGCTGCAGGCCGGAGGGGAAGGGGCCCCGTGGGGACGGCAGGCAGCCGGGCTCTGTGATGAATCCCGGGGCCTCTCTGCAGAGTACTGGGAGGTTAATAAAACCCAGATGCGAGTTGCTAGAGGAAGTGAATTCCTCATCTCCCGTCTCGGCCCCAGGATCTCGGTGTCTTGATCCGGATCAGTTCCTTCCCTTTCATGTCAGACAAGGAGTCCCCCCGACTCCAGCCTCTTCCTCTTTCACCCTGGAGAGATCCTGCCTGTTACGGTTTGAATTGTGTCCCACCCGAAAGACAGGTTGAAGTCCTGAGTCCTGTTGCCCGCGAAGGTGACCTGATTTGGAAATAAGGCCTTTGCAGATGTGGTCAAGCGAAGATGGGGACGCGCTGGAGCCGAGTGTGCCTAATCTAATGACCGTGCCTTTA